GTTATACATACATACATAACATCACCCTGAAGTAGGTGCACGTTACGGCACTTAATGCTACCGTACAATGTAACACCCACTTTTCACTACTTATGTTATGAGTCCCATGTAATAGCCTATTGCCATATACCGGGCACAATTCCAGATTCCGTGCTACTACTGACATTTTTTTTTAAACCCAGTAATACTTTGCTCGACCCGGGAATCGAACCCAAAACCCCTTGCCCGGCACTCGCACTTGCGACCTTAGCCAATGAAGCAGTCTAATCGGTAACGTATGTTGTATAAAAGGCTATTTAGTTACCTTTAAATTGAGAGCTTTATTTATAAGTGGTTTGATTTTTCTGACCCCAGTATTATTAAAAACTATTATAAAAAATAAATGTCGTCGAGTCAGCGAGTATTCAGACGAAATACTTTCTATCAATTTAAACATAAAATATGTCAGAAATCAGTCTTTAAATGCCAAAAAAATTAAGTAAACCTTCAATTTGTTTGTTAAATAAGTAATATTGGCACTTCAATAAGTAAATAAGGGAATTTTAAGTAAAACTATCAATATTTCTTTCTCAATACTCGCTGAGTAAAACAAATAATAATAAATTAAAAATAAAACATTATTTAGACTGGCAATCTGTATGTTTGTACTTTACCGATGGCAATTTCGTTGTGTGTACTATGTGGATTTTTGCATTGACTGTTATTGCGATCATTATTTGCTTGTTCAAAGTAATTTTAAGACTGTTTATAAGACTCTTAACTTTTTATAATGAGTGAGATAACATTACGCCTTTTTTCCTCAAAGATGTAGGCAAAGGTGCACATTATGACACTTAAAGCCACTGCACAATGTAACACCCACTTTTCACTATTTACGTTATGAGTCCCATGTAATAGGGGGTGAACCTATTGCTATATACCGGGCGCAATTCCAGACTCCGCGCTTCTACTAACTTTAATTTTTTTTAAATATGCCCTTTTCCTACGCCTGACCCGGGAATCGGGGCCGGCACCTGAGGCCATTTGCTCATGCGACCACTTCGCCAACGAGGCAGTCAGTGAATAGAGGATTGAACGTAAATAACACAATCGAAACTTTTTGACAGTATACTACGAACGTAGTGAAGGGTGAGGTTATCATCTTAACTAAGGTTCCAGACTTGGTGCTGAGAGCATCAAAACTCGAAATTATATCTCAGTTTACGACCTTCGAGAGATAGTTAATGTTTTCCTATGTTATTAGTAAGTTAAATATAGTTTACAGCAGTTACGATAATTATTATACGCAATGCAAAAATACACATAATACAACACAGACATTAATAACAGAATTAGTCCAAGCACATTGTGTCAAATAATCACAAATACTGATATAAAAATAATACAATACCCTTATAAAATTATTCGACAATATGCTCTTGAACTTTTTAAATAAACAACAAAAAATATATATGTACATGTATAAAAAATATGCTGCCAAAATGTTAACAAAAATAAATTAAAAATATAGTCGGCTTGTATTAAATTTAAAATCTTTATACATTTGGAATCAAAGAAACGGAACCACTAGCTAGATACAAGTATTTTATTGATTGCAACGTATGTCACAATTTAGTTACCTTTCAAATAAGAGCATTTTAACTAAAAATCGCGGGTTACTCACGTGAATATACTGAGCCTAGTCAGCCCAGCCTACTGAAGGTTACGCGACATCGCCGCGACCGCCTCATGAGGAAGAACCCCTCTGTGGTTCGAAACTAGTAGACCTTTTGTCAGTATATTCACGTGAGTAACCCGCGATTTTAGTTAATTTAGTATGTCTTACGATAGTTATTACAAAAACATGAGCGTGTTTTGCAGTAAAAGGAATAATTGTTTTAAAGTTAAAGAAGGTTTACTAGTGGCTCTGTTTTTGCTCCCAAGTGTATGTTAAGCGCTGATCTATAACCGCCAATTACCTTAATGCTTATAAATTAACAAAAAACCGTGAAAATAATAAATTAAAGACTAGATTAGTAAGCATTAAGATTATTGTTAACAAAAACATTGAAATTAAAACTTAATTGAATTTTTAAGGGGTTTGAAACGTTTTAATAATGTACAGGGTGTAAACGCAACGCTCCCGAACACGCTGACAAAAAAATAGATTTCACAATTTTAATCGTATATCTTTACATGTACAGTCAGAAGTCAAAAGTCCACTGCTACCGTGAGTGATGTTCACACGGCAATGCGTAAGTAATTTCATATTAATGTGCATAAAAACGCCTGCGTACGCAAAAACACACGCACGCGTACGCACACGGATAAAAACATGCGTGTGCATGTGTGTATAAGCGCTGCAGCGCAACCGATAGTAGTCTTACGGTGGCAGTGGACTTTTGACCTTTGGCCGTACATCAGCCTTGAGCTCGTTGATTACTACTACGATTACATAAACGAAACATTTAATTCCTTATTTTTAAGTCAAAAAAATTTATTTTTGACCATCACTTGCCGGCGTTCTTCAGGAGCGGTCATTTACACCTGTATGTAACTCGCTTATATATGTGATGGCAAGATTGTCATGGTAATATTGTACTGTGCATTTATAGTAATTTAACGAGATTCCTTTAATACACTGTCGAGCAAGAAATACATGCCAAATAGTAACTATTTCTTTTAAAATCTTATTTTTATATGGTTTACGTCATCAAGTATGCTTCAGCATTGAATGTGAGCATTTTAATTAATAAATAATTAGAAAAAGCACTCTTTATTCGATTTTAAACACATAAAATATTATTATATTAGAATGACAAGTCTTTATTGCTCGCCAGTGTATTTAATAAATAGAACTAATAAAAATTTTCAGCTGCCTTCAGACTAGAAAAGAGATTCAATCCCTAATTAAAAATTTGGATTTTTATATTGACTTCAATATTATTAAGGGCCTGTTTCACCACCTCTATAAGTGTCCGATAAACGTATATCGTAGATAGTTCACATAAACCACGTTCAGAGCGTATAGTGTATAATGATAAGGTATAGGACTCCGACTCCGAGATACAATAGTCACGTGGGTGACACAAGCTACGTCATCATCGCAGTCTTGGCTGTCAAACTTTATTGTTGGGGCAAATTCAATGATATAGAAAATTACCTTGATAATAGACAAACTTGATAGTCGACGTCCACAAATAAATGTTTGAGAATCACAGGCACACTGGCACTGAGCGAGACAGGCTTATGCGTTAAACAAGATTAGCGATACTCAACATATTGGCGGAATGTCAATTAGAAAGCCTGTCTTTGTGTTACCAATACCGTCGAATAATAACCGACCAAAAACCTTTAATTTTAATTACTTGAACAAGTTAATCAACTTTTACATTGGTATATATTGAAATATACTCGTTTCGTTTGATTTCATAAACGAAACGCCAATATTTTACTTTTAATAAAACAGTACTGACTGAAAATGCTTCCGTATTTTTTTGCTTTATTGCAATAACGTGGCAACTGGACAAGCAGTGACGTAGCCATGTGTCGGGAATGCGAGACCTTGTTCTTTAGATCGTAGTTCAGAGGACTCAGTGCGAGTTTGTATTATGTTCAACGAAATCGAACCGTTACCACTATCGGCGCTGATTAGTGGGTTCATTGTAGCAGAAGCCTACTCGTACTAAGCCTTCTAAATTCAAATTCATCTGGTACGGTGGCCAGCAGGTCGGACTCTCCCTATCTATCAAACTCTATTACCAAAGATAACTTTATTGTATTGACATAAATTCAAAAATGCAATGAATAAATTTGAGAGATTGGGGCCGGTTGATCTGCTAGCCACTGTTCGCGGCTTTTTTTGAGGGGACAATCATTGAATATCTTCTCCGGCCTAGGTAAGGCGGACTCTTACTGACTAAAAACCACCCCGTTCCTACTCATCTGCACTTCGAGCCGGAGTTCCGACAGCCCGTTAAGTCCTCCACGGCGCCGTATCGGCATCAGCGCTATTGGGCCCCATACGTGTACATTGCGGCTATCAAGACCTTCTTATATGGTACAGAAGGGCTACCCAGACTGAAACAGGCCCTGAATGTGATGACTAGCAATTCCGTGATATTTAAGCGAGTAATTCCCTATTCCCATTAAAAATAAATTTAAATAACTATAGAACTAACATTGAAGTTAGTGTGTATGTTTATACCGTCATAATTATCCCACTAGTGGACCGAACTACAGATTAAGTCACACTAACCAACCGTTAGTACGTTAACTTGCTGGTCTATTGGGTTACAAGTGTGTGATTCATATATTTTATACTTATAATTTAATATCCAAATATAACCAAATATATATTTTTTGTATAATAACTGGCGACGCACATGTTTCTCGTGTTTATGAGTCCCAGTCTTAGCTTGAAATTAGTCGTGTTACCTTGAATAGTTAAGTAAATAAACCGTAATATCGAAATTAAGCATCGCATAATTTTTAACGCATTGACATTTTTATTACGTCACTTTATTTTAAAGTAGTGTTTACCAATAATTTTAACCGTCTTTATAATTCCATTTTGTCTCTATTTGTAAACCACATCCTTCGATCCTCATTAACCTTAAAAACTAAATAATATACAAAAATGTCATAGTGCAGTCTTTTTCCTTACAAAATTGTCTTTATAATAATTTTGACGAAGTTTTTATAACCAGAAATATTTAGGAAAAAGACGTTTTTAAATAGAATAATATAACATAATGCCTTTTAATCCTCTAAGGGGTAAACAGAGATGTACGTATATAATGTAACACCGACTTTACACTATTTATGTTATGAGTCCCACGTAATTGGGGATTAGGACATAATTATAAATACGTGTTTTATAAACGACATAGAAGCCATTATAAGCAATTTTAAATAAATATAAATACTTGTAAAAATAATACTTTGATTTAGAAGAATATATTATTAATATAAATAAACGCGATATTGGTACTTTTATGTTTGTATCACCGCTGATATTAGGAGCTGCCCTTACCACCATTATTGGGAGCTGTTTTAATGTATTTTTATTCTCTACTAGCTGATCCCGGCAAACTTTGTACCACTTAATAATTTTTTTCTCACCTTTTAAACCTTTCCTGGTCTTCAAGACAAAATTAGCCAAAGCAGTTCAGCCATTCTCGGGTTTTAAAACGACCGGAAATTTATTTTTATTTATATAAATGTGAACAAGTAACCCAGTACAATGGAGAGAGTAGATTCTCTTTACAGATTACGTTCCAAATTTCTTTTTTAGCAACTTCAAAAAGTATTTTATCAGTTTAAGTTATACTCGAAATAGTAACTAAATACCGCCACGCTAGGTATAACTATAGGTCCCTACACCATAGGAAAATGCAAAAAATACATACTATGTGTTTCCAAAAATGTACATTATATCAAATACTATCTGGCAGTTTGTATTCTAAATATTTATTATGGACATGTCAAATTATAATCTATGAATAAAATTGTAGTGTCTGTTTGTAATATTAAAATAACTGCTTTTACTACATGCATATTATTATACATAAGATACACATACCAATATATTTTTATTACTATTTTTGTCTGTCTGTTTGTACTGGCTAATCTCTGTTATGCAAGACTTTTATTGACAGGTAGCTGATGTACTAAGGAGTAACATAGGCGCTACTTTTATTTTATAAAGTTGAAACAAAAAAAATGTTCTATAATTCATATTCGACACGGACAAAATCGCGGGGAATAGCTAGTTTACCATAATTTTACACGACAAGTGTATAAAAAACAATAAGTTAAAATCTGTTTTATAGAAATGAGAGGGCGATTTAAATCTTAAGTATACAATATTCAACTATGATTGAACAAAAATAATTTGACCAAGTACCTGCACCTAACAAATAAACAATTTGGAAACCCTGCCCCCCAACCTTACATCATTTCAAAGCACTTTTCCCCAGCTTCCGTATTAGCTTCACAGACATCGTTAGGCACTAACCACTGTATGAACAGAGCCAGTAACATGAACAGTATGGACAATATGCAAAGAATATTCAACCAATTGTCCTGCCATATATTAGCCAGCTGTAATTCCAAGCATTCACATTTAGGACAGCATTTTTCTTCAGTTCTAGGACATCTACGCTTACAGAATTTGCAAAAACCTTTAATATGTTGACCCGTAGACTTAAAGGTAGGGTTATAGAAAATACGGATCTCTGTTTTCGGTTTTTCTTGATTATTTAGTACCTCAGTTTGTCTATCCCCCGTCTCAGTCGTATAGTACCTCTCGCTCTTTTTAACGAAGTTTTCGAAACCGTCGTGTCTTAGTTTTGAAATTTGGTTTTTCGTGAAACTGGCTTCCGCCGTCTCCATGAATGTTTCAGTGGTTGTTAGAACGCGATTGTATCTATCTGGGTTTAGCAATTTCATGTTTAATGCACCTGAAACTTTAACGTCTGGACCGGATTTTGTAACATCGTTAACTATGCTATGGCATTCGATTTTTTTGCCGTTATATCGATTAAATTTATCGTTAATATCATTCTTATCGATATTGTCTGAACGAAAGAATTGTTCCCGAAGTATATCGTTTTTAGAACGTCTGTTAAAATCTACGTTTTCATAGTGAGATTTGTCGATATTTAAGTTTGATTTATCGATATTAATGTTAGCTTTATCGATGTTATTTTTATCGATATTGTTTCTATCGAAATTGACGTTAGCGTAATCGTGGTTGGAGAAATCTTTTTTGAAGTTGTAGATTTTATCGTAGATCGTTTTTGGATATAACTTAGGGCTGTTATTACTGTCTAAATATCCCTCACAATTTTGGACTATGGACTCAAAATCGCCATTTAAATTATCAGGTTTAGTTTTATCGAGTTTATTCTTAAAGATCAAGTTACAATAATCGATACTTCTATAGTAGTCACTATCGGACTCCTCCTGTATAACATCCAAGCCCCAACTGCGGGTAGTATCGACATCCTCATAGATGCCATCATCGACATCCTTATTACCGACTCCAATATCGATACTTTCAAAATCGCTATCGTAGCTATCATCTTTTTCTTTGCCAAAGAATACTTTGTAAAAGTTATCGTAACAATAATTAAGTTTGCGATAGAGGTAGGATTTCTTAGGGTTTCGTTTAGGGTCTGGATCAGTTACCTGTGTCTCCTTGTCCTCCTCGGTTTCCTCTCCGATGGTGTAGAGGACTGTTGTGGAGGCTTCGCCGACGCGGGAGGCAGCATTTAGGAGGTTCTGGCGCGGCTGGAAGTAGATACATTGTGTGTGAGTAAAAAGGCTGATGATTATAATTATTGTATACAGGTAGTATTTATTGTAGTTACACAATATAGAGGTAGTTGCTATATCGTATTAAATTCCTATACTTATCAAGAGCCAGTTAAAGTACTATGCAGACGTATTAAAAGTATTTAATAGAATTAGCAAATATGTATAGCGCAGATACAGCGTTTAAACTTGGATTCGTTATTTTTAAGTGCTTTAGTCACACTTTTTATACTACAACTATTCAAACGGAAATTTTCCATTAGTTGCACTTATCACAATCACTAGTAATATCTTGACTCAGTCTGTATCGCAATTAAGATATCTCGTGTTATCTACAGCTTTTAAGGTAAAACACAAACCACAGTTAAAAAAATTAATTCTTTATATTAAAAAAAATCTCAGTAGTAGCACGGAGTCTGAAATTGTGTCTGGTATATGGCAATAGACTCACCTCCTATTACATGGGACTCATAACATAAATAGTGAAAAGTGAGTGTTACATTGTACAGTGGCATTAAGTGCTGTAATGTGCAGCTCTGCCTTCGCCTTTAGGGATAGAAGGTTTGATAATATTGTTTTTTTACATGAAAAATCCCTTTAAAAATCAACAAACCTCTTTAGTTTCCGGCTCAGCAGCCTTCAGTAAGTCAGTGAATGCTGTACAGAGTTTCCTGGTGGCATCCAGGAGTTTGTCTCCATGGTCCCCGTCATCCATGAGTGCGGCGATCATCTGTACTCCCTTCGTCATCTCCGGCAGGTTGGTGGTGATGGTGGTGATGGCCGCTCCTACTGCCGTGTGGTCTACTTCCTCCGTGCCTGGGGATGGAGGTGGGGATTCAAGTTAAGTTTGTCTAAGAGTGACAAGTTGTTCTCTGTTTTTTTTTTCAGTAATTTATTACATTACTACTATTTATATTATTCTATCTATAATTATTTTTCAGATTCGATGTGTATATAGGTATGGTATGTATGTCAGGCTTTACGAAAGAGAACAAACCTGGACAATTGTTATTGTGCTGAGTAGTATGCTAAACAGATTTTGATACGATCATGACATATGGTAGCGATTAACAAAGACAGTACAGTGTTTATCTAACAAAGGCTTTATTTCTTCAATTCGATCATAGTCTTTTGTTACTATTGAAATAAATCTGCATAAGTAAAGTAAATAGATATAATTATTTTATCCTAAACCCTTCCACTATAGCCTATAGTATAGGCTATACAACATCATGCTATAACCAATATGACCTGGCAGAGCGGGTGAAAGCGCGCCAGAGTCGCTAATAAAAGAGAAGAAGTTTGAAATGTTACCTGAAGTGAGTGTGACGACCTGTGCCGTGGCCGCATTCATGGCGGCAATCTGCGAAGTGACGACCTGCTTGTTGGTGTCCATCGTCACCTGCTTCCACTTCACCGACGCCGCGTCCTGGCCCAGCGCTGGGAGGGTGGCCTGCACCATAATGTATAGAATTAGTTATACAGCCAATGATATAATCAAACCAAAAAGCAATCATACTTAAATTAAACAGTTTTAAAACTAACGCCCCCAATTTCCAATTACTCCCTTCCCCAATCTCCCCAATCCCTGAATCCCCAACAATTTTCAAATTCCTAATCCCCAAAAGACCGGTAACGCACTTATAACGCCATTGGTGTTCCGGGTGTCCTATGGCGACGCCGATTGCTTACCATCAGGTGATCCGTCTGCTCATAATCCCATAAAAAAACGCTTTGACTAATAAATATATCTGTCAATTGGATCTTTAGTACAGTTTTTTTGCACGATCTAAACTCAATGGTAATGCGAGTATTGTGTATAGAAGATCGATAGTAAGGTAATTTGGTTATTGCAGAAATAAAAAGAAGAATACAATTATATGAATCAACTGACTTTTAGAGTTGATCAAAGTTTTTATTACACAAAAATTAGTCGAACCAATTTTTTTTGTACATTGTATATTTGATCAAAGTCTGTCTACTTGAACCGTGTAACTAAAAATAGCCAAAATTTATCAATGTTATTTTTGTTTCTAGATAATAATTTCTTAAGATATAAAAAATATATGTTTATTTTAATAAAAATGTATATAAGTAACGAGGGGGGAAATAAACCTAACAATTCTTGGTATCGAACCCGCGTTGGAATGGAAGTTCGCCGCGCGACAGGTTAGGGAAGTGAAGTAAAAATAGAATTGACATCCAAATGACAGGTTAGCATTCTATTTGTGGATACTGTTTCTTTTACTTGTATATTAAACTTGGTTATATTCTTGTTTTAAAGTACGGCAAGATAAGGTAAAACTTTGCTAACGAGAAGATAAGAAGGTAACGTTAGCTTTATTTAAATGAAGAAGCGTTGTTCAGGGTCTCGCAACTATAACAAGTTGTCCAACCGTGGATCAATCTTTTATTATAATGGAGTAGGTAGGTGTTTCTTTTCTATACCTTTTGCTTATACCTATATAAAAAAAAACGTTGCCCCACACTAGGATTTTCTCCTGTATCATGGGTGCGTTTACAAACATACAAGTTCACATACACATGACACCCAGACCAGGGACAACAATTTGAGGATCACACAAAGAGTTGCACCGTGCGGGAATCGAACCCGCGACACGTTGGACCGCAGCCAGTTGCCCAGCCACCGCGCCAACAGTGTCGATGTGCCGTAGTTAGTACATTAGTTCATTGGGGCCAATGTTCATGTACGCCTTGTGGATGATATGAAGATGAGACAATACATACCCTGGTGAGTCCCTCCTCTGTGTGCTTGATGATCTCCACTCCGCTGGAGATGGTGGACAGCAGCGCGCGCTGCGGCTCCGACAGGATCGACGTCACGCGCGTCTGCTGGACCTGGGACGCCTGGGTTTGGAAGTAGATACATTTGTTTATGAAAGTTATCTTCAATTTGTGTATTATTCGATATCAAGGGTTAGGTAAAGACGGGTTCTCGAACGGAAAAGAATCCAGCAAAGTATACTGAACGCGGATGGGTAAAATGGTCATAAGGAGGCTAGACATCGAGACTGTAAGTACAATGCTAGACTTTGTACTGTCATTAAAAATAATTAAAAAACTAACACTGAAGCACTCAAACTCTACTAAATTTTAAGTATAGTTCTGTCGCTACAAATTCATTGTAAAATGACAGGGACAGCACGATATTCAAGTAAAAATTTACATTTATAATTTGGGAATCGAACCCATATTCCTTGGCACAGTTAAGGTAACCTTTATTACAATAGTTATGTGACAATGTATCAGTTCGTCATGACTAAGACTGACTGAATATTATTTTTATTGTATTTAAAAATAGTAAGTCGTACAATATATACCTACACAGCCCATTTCGATGACTACGTATAGCCAATAGCAGCGTGGAACAAAATCATGTCATCATTATACAAAATGCTTAGAACAAGTGTTGAATGTGTGATGTAAAACTGAGAAGTAAAAATGGCATTAGATACGTACTGTATTTGGTTAGCAAATGTATTTTGATAAAGTTCAATAACTTTTTAAACCAATTCATTAATATCGAAAGTTATTCAACATTGGTTAAGACCTAAACGATTGATTGGAAAAAGAAAAAATATATTTTTGACTGCCACGATTGTCTATTTAATACAATTTGAAATAATTGCTTTAGCTTTGATGAAATCATTAATCAAATAGACATACATAGGTATTTCTTCTCAAAAAATATACACCTGTAATAAAATGTCTTATATTAGCCATCTATATTTTTTAAATTAATTAATTTTATTTTCAACGCAAAAATACCACTTTTACTCCCAGTTCTTACATACAATAACTTCTAGCTAACATTAATTCTAATACAATAATGCTGGGGCTACATTAGCGGGCTACGGCGATGTGTATGTAGCATCGAGACACTGTCGGTACACTAGCGCGCTTCAAACGACTGGTCGCGACAATATTCGTTTGAGTAGCCTACGTCACTTTAATGTCGTCAAGACTTTGAAGCGAGATTGACGTTCATGTGTTTTTGTACACTATGGGGTGGAGGAACGAAAATTAAACAATGAATATTCGCTGTAGGCCGCTTTCTGAATCTTCACACGCAAACATAAACATCTTCTATGTCCGACAACGGAATTATGCGCTCCAACGCGATACGAAACTTCGCCCGCTAATGTAGCCGCAGCATAACGGTGTATAACAAAAAAAAAAAACTAAAATAATACTAAAAAGCATGAAATAAAAACAAAAAGTATATATACTGACAGCGGGCGGCGTGTGTCCAGTAATGATTTGTCCTGAGACTGTCGTCTGCTGGGCGCCCGTCATGTGGTTCACTGCGAAAGGCTTCGCTCCTAGCGAGGACAAGCAAAGCGTATAAATATATTAAATACGATGGAATATCGTGCTATATACCCTAATTTACAACTAGTCAAATTCAATAACATAACATCACGCCTTTTATCCCCGATAGGGTAGGCAGCGGTGCACATTACGGCACTTAATGCCACTATACAATGTAACACCCACATTTCACTATTTATGTTATGAGTCTCATGTAATAGGAGGTGAGTCTATCGCCATATACTGGGCACAAGATGTTTCGTCATATTTTATTAAAATTAGTGTATCAATATATCATTTTTTAAAGTTGATACAACACGACATTCCATCAATAAAAAAAAATAAAGAATAAATAAAAAAAAATCTAAATGCAACTACATTAAATATAATAAAATGTCTATACATATTTAGTGCTTACTTAGAGTCGTAAATAAATTTGATAAAGTTGTAAGCACTAACAAAAATTCATTTTTATAAAAAAAAAATGAGCAACTGGTGCAATACAAAACATATTTAATTTAATTATTACAACGGGAATGTTGGCAGCAGTCAAATTCAAGAATTTTCTCGTAATTGATTCTGCAAAAATTGTCTTATAGCAAAAACAATTTGTAATGATCAAATCATTTTATTTTTATGGTATAAGCAGATAAACGGGCCGACGGATCATCTGAAGGTAAGCAATCGGCGTCGTCCATGGACTCCTCACTCACACGACCACACTCAACGCAAGCTTTGTTTCACGTCAGTGTTTTGTGTGGTATCACTCCGGTCGAGACGGAGAGTTCAATGAATGAACAGTATGACTACTCCAATACATTTACCCGTTACGTTACTCGAGTCAAAACATTAAATTTTGACTTAGCGAACATCCCCATTGCAAAAATTTTGTGATTTATACAAAAATTGGGTACTCGCCAACAAGTCAAATTCAATACTTTTTCGAACGACCGTTTTCTATGAATTTTGTACGAGATTGTGTATTGTGACGTCACGTTTTTATAGCGCCAAACAAAATACTTATTTCTTAAAAGTTCACTGGAAAGGTACTAAAATGAAGTTGGTCATAAAATCAATTAATGAAAGTGTGACTATTTTTTTTAATTTTATAGAATTGTATAGTATATTTGTATTGGAAAGTACCCAATTATAATTATCGTAGGTAATAATTTGCGTGTATGGTTCCTACCTTCAGCTCCGGGGCGATGCACGGCGGGTTTGGCCACGGACTCCGTGTTCACCTTGCCAGATTTGAATGTGTCGTGTTGGATTATATTGGCCCTGTAGACAAATTAATATTATATTAGTGAATTTGTGATATTTCAATCTAAATGTTAACAGATTAAGGTTCATATTACAACTTTAGTGACAAATATTTTGACTTAATATTTTATGAAATATTATGACTTAATATTTTCAGAAATAAACTGTATAAATGGTTAAATGAACATAATTTTTATAATATAAATGACTTTTTTGATTTAAAAAATGTTTAAATGTGTTTTGGTTCAATTTTTTTTTTATTTTATTGTAATGATTATTGGCGTAATGACAATTGTATTAACAAATATTTTGCATGCAATCTATAGACATTATCTATACAGCTAAACATGTGTACTTTAAAAACAAATTGTAACACCACTGTAAACCATGTTTAAGGCAAATAAAGACTTATCTTATCTTATCTTATCTTAAATTAATGATTGTTTTCGGCTTACTCACGTTTTTATTTGACGAGGAACTCGACTAGTTTCAAGCTATGCTAGAGGTTCGCATTTATGATTGTGAATCGTGTCGTGTATAGCATAACGCTACTCATGAATATGAGCCTCTAGCATGGCTTGTAACTAGTCGAGTTCCTCGTCAAATAATTACGTGAGCTGAAGACAATAATAATTAGATTAAACGTTATTTAACCGTGCCTAATTCAGTTGCAGTTAAGTCTTATTTATTCTATTGGAGTAGGAGAGACACGAAATGTCTCGCTCAGACATAGGCACCTCATTCGCTTCACCTACATTCATCAATCTCTTCATTCATGTTCGTCAATTCAAGGTATTCTTTTATATCTGCATAAAAATGAGACATTTTGTCTAAAAAAGGTTTTCAAAGACTTAAGGGCTCGTACACAAAACTGCAAATTCGTAACGCAAATTATGCGAATTGTAGCGATGCGATTTTATGCGACAAAATCGCAAAGTGTTTCCATTCCTTCGACGACCGTCAACCGTACTAATCGTATTTTAAATTGAGAACTAGGTCGTGATATGGATAGTCAAAGTGTGAACAGAAGTTGTTATTGTTTATGAGATACAGGAAAAAGAAACAAAGAATATTTGGGGAAGATAAAATTTTGATGCGCGATGCGACTAAATTCGGAAGTTCTGGTGGTGCGTAGAGAGAGCTCGCACATTTTTGCGATGCAGCTTTGTGTACGAGCCGTCTGTCAAAGAAGTACGTTGCTGTACTATAAAGTCAAGTTTTGATAAGATGTTAACGTAGGTACCTTGTGTAATGTGAAAATATTGCATTACTTACTTAGAAGGCGACACAGAATCCTCCAACATGGCGGACCCCTCGTCCCCCTCGATGCCGAGGTGGTCTTTGGCGCGCTGCTTGCGTACTATTATGTCTATATACCCGGCTATTACTTGCAATATCTGTTCCGCTTCCGTAGTTTGCACGCTGTAGTACTGGTCACTGTGAGACAAATATATCTTTGTTATTATAAATTATAATGGAATGGTATGAGTCCCGGGTGTGGCTCGAAACTAGTTGAGTTGACTTGTAAAAATCGGTAAGCCGTAAACAAAAATAATTGTTATTATGAGTACGTATCTTATTTAAGGATAAAAGTATTGGTTTAGAGCAATATTTTTATATAAAACTTATACTACAAACAATTCTTGTAACTTTAAATGGGACGTCACTTAAATAAACAATATAAGAAATAGCATTAAATTCAGTTTAGCTCCCTGCACAACATAGTTCTTGGCGCACATAGGCAACTAATGATTTTGAGTCCCGATATGGCTCGAAATAACATTTTTAACCAACTTCAAAAAAGGAGGTTCTCAGATTGTCCTATATGTATGTGTGTTTGTGCACGATATCTCACAATTGGCTGAACTGATTTTGGTGCGGTTCTCAGAATTGTTTGTTACACTTTGGAAAAGGTTATACAATGTAACACCAACTTTGCACTATTTATGTTATGAGTCCCATGTAATAGGGGGTCAGCGTATTGCCATATACCGGGCACAATTCCAGACTCTCCTACTACATACTGAGATTTTTTTTTAAACCCAGTAATACTTTGCCCGGACCAGTAATCGAGCACGAGACCCCTTGCCCGACAGTCGCACTTGCGACCACTCGGCCAATGAGGCAGTAGTCTTAAAATATTGGCATTATTAGGTATGTTTTCAAAAATGTGGTAACAAACCTGTAGTCTCCGAAGTCCAGGGTAAAAGTATTGGGGCTGGCACACCAGCGACGTACAGTGGTCAGTGGCCAGGTCTGCAGGATCTCCTTGGTCTTCTCATCCAGACGCAGCACTGAGTCTTTCGTGACTCCCAGTAGACGGGGGACCAGCTTGTTCTTGCCTTTCATCTTTTCCTGTGTAAAATGTTGAGGTTCAGTTGTTATGTCATCAGTTGCAGATGAATTTAGGGACTATCTAAGTATTTAAGCTAAAATGTCTTGAAATTAAAGATATTTAACGAGTTCAGAAAAAGAAGAAGGTCGACCTGAATGTATGTATGTACAGTTTGTGCGCAATTATCTCGCTGAACCGATTTCGATGCCGTTTTCAGAAAACTACCTCTATAACTAACTTCAAAAAACAGAGGGGTTGAAATCGGTTTTTTAAAACGAAGTTTATAAAATAATCATTATAATAATAAAATCGGGGGTATCCAATTACCAAAAGGCTGGCAACACACTTGTACCTAACTGCCCTGGGTAACTGCACCTGATGGTGATACCGTCTGCTCGCTAACCGACATATTACACCATCATAAAAGATACTTAACTTCACGCCTATCTCCCATGGGGGTAGGCAGAGACTATGGAACAATAAAAATACATAATTATGAAACGTTTTATAACATACCTTAACCAAGAAGAAAGCGACACCATAAGTCTTGAGGTCCCTGGCGCTCTTGGTGTACAGCACCTTGGCGTCCAGCTCACTGAGGCCGACGTGCTTCTTGTGTTCCTTGAAGATCTTCTTCTCAATGGCCTTCACCTTCACGTAGGACGCTGGCAGGAACTCTTTCAGGCTGTGGAGTGGAATTTAAGGTGGTTATTGTTGAGAAGGAATTTAAAGTTTGTAAAAGTATAAGCCGGCAAACGAGCAGACGAATCACCTGATGGTAAGCAAGCTCCGTGGCCCGTGGATACCCGGAACACCAGAGGCTTTACAGGTGCGTTATTGGCCTTAAGTGATTAGGAATTTGAGGATTGTTGGGGATTCAGGGATTGGGGATTGAGGAAGGGGTAATTGGGCCTGCGACCACTTAAAACTAGTATCTAAAACTTTTTTCAATATTGTACTTGTACGTGAATAAACCAGTATTATTAATTAATGTATATAAGTGTTGAGAATGGACAGAGTATTGTATGATGTACTGAATAAGAGGGCCTCGAGTTTGGTGGTTGAATTAGACCAAATATTTGATGTTCGAACTCAAAATTCTTAGTAACATAACATCTGATGTAAACTGCTACTTATTTAAAGGATTTAGATAAATATAGAATGTTACTGTTTGACGAGGTACTTGACTAGTTTCAAGCCATGCTGGAGATTCATATTCATGAGCAGCATTTGCGCTACTACCGATTACTACTGGTATTAATTAGTATATACAATATTTTTTGCTAGAACTGAACAAAGTATTGGTTATTGGACTCAAAATTTGCTGTAAATTCTTTTCTGGGCAGCATTATTTGCTCATCAACAACTTTCTGTCAGTAAGTTAACTAAAATCGCAGGTTACTCACGTGCACGCTGCTCATGAGGAAGAACCCCTCTGTGCTTCGAAACTAGTAGAGCTTTTGTATTGTAACTTTCGTGAGACATACTGGCAGAGTAGCAGAGTGGCAGCGCGACAGTCACCGCGTCGCGGGTCGCGAAATGCTGCTCATGAATATGAGCCTCTAGCATGGCTTGAAATTAGTCGAGTTCTCGTCAAATTACTACGTGAGTAAGCCGAAAACATAATAATTTATTTAGTAGAGCTTTTCTCAGTATATTCACGTGAGTAACCCGCGATTTTTGTTAATTTAGTATCTCACGATAATTATTATATTTCAGTCAGCAGTTAAAATGTATATTTATTTCATGTGAACTCACTCTAAAAATCCGGGTGTATGTTTGTCTTCCCTGTGGTCCCCGAACTGTATTTGACATTGGATACCCGCGAACTCGCAAGCTGTTGACAAGACATGCAATACATTAATATTTTTAAGTAGATTTTGATGCAAGATAGTTGTATTTAGAATCAACCAATGAGACTTGTTCCGAGATACATTTACTTTCTAAGATTATCTAGACACCACTGACAAACGGCGAAGGAAAACATTGTAAGGAAACCTGGGCTTATAATTTCTAATTATAAGTTTGAAATCGTCAACCCGCATTGTGCAAGCGTGGTGATTAATTCTCAAACCTTCTCCGTGTGAGAAGAGGCTTTGCTCAGCAGTAGGCATTTATAGGCTGTTGATGGATGGACGGAAAGTTAAAGAGAAAGGGGTTGATTTAGGAAATGATATAGAAATTCAAGACTAAATGTAACTCTGCTCGAAACATTGTACTTTGACATTAATGAAACATTTCGATATTTGGTAGCTGTTAGATCTTAGAGGTCCATATCTAAATATAAAAAAATGTATTGCTGTGCTGTTTCCAGAAGGGTCCAACAGCGATTCTAGACCTGAATGCCTTCAAATCCCGAGTGAATTGCTTAGGCAGGCGTAATCCATAATCAGCCACATTATTACAGGCGAGATAGGAGCCAGCTATTAAATAATAACTTTCAATTACCTTTATCCATAGTAACAGGATGCGTGCCGTCCAGTATGGCGTCCCTGGCCTGCACGTACAGCAGGTTGAGCTGGACGGGGTCCCTGGAGTCCACGTTGCGGTCTGAGAAGAACAGCTTGCGGCGCAGCAGGAGCGTCTCTGTCACGTCTATGCCTTGCTCGCGGAGGGTCTTTGAGGGCTCCACCCAGTTCACTGTCGGACGAAACAAACTTTATGAATGACTGGCTACTTTCACGTATTTTCACTCGCTGCTAGCCTTGCTCTATAAATGCACTATTCAATTATTTAAGTCCTGCTGGTAGTTTCGGAGATTAACACGTTCGAACAAACAAACTCTTTAGCTTAGTTAGCTACATTTTTTATTGTAAACGTTCCCCACACTAGGATTCTCTCCTGTGTCATGGGTGCGTTTACAAACATATACGTTCACATACACACGACACCCAGACCAGATACAACAGTTTGTGGATTACACAAAGTGTATCGAACCCGCGACACATTGTACACCAGCCGGTTGCCCAACTGTGCAGTCGTTCGTCGCTATTACATCTCCCTACGACCTGTATAAACCGTACAGGGGATGAAATCGCGCGAAAGTAGTTATTATGAAATAAAAAAACATAATATTATCCAGCGTAGTAATTGGCGTTCCATAGTCTTTGCCTACCCCCATGGGAGACAGGCGTGAAGTTATGTATGTATGTATGTAATATTATCCAGTTTCCTATACTTAATACAGATTACAAAGTAGAGTGGTTTACCTTCATCATCAGTCCTGAGTTTCTTTCTCAGCTGTTCCATCTTGGCGTCTCGCTCCTTCTCCTGGTGCTTGCGCTTCAGGGTCAGGGTGCCGAAGTTAGGCTTCTCACATGGATCTACTTCCTCTTTCTGTTCTTCTCGCACCTGAGGGAGTAGGGGTGAATGTAAATAAAAAATAATTACTGTAATGTTTGTTGGTGCATATCTTCTAAACAAATTTGTCATTTATACTTATCTGTATTAAATGTATGAATGGAATTGACATGAAATTACAAAGATCGCCACGGAATGCACCTTCGATTATTTTTGTAATACCATTTTGTCAATTTATTTAACTTATTGTAGTTGAGACTAGACTGAAATTGTACTATGGAGCCAAAAGTTTTGCAATGTCAAGATTTTAGCTAAAGCAAAATTTATTAATCATCCCCAATATCATACAAAGATAGTCTCTAAATATAGAAAATAAGGTCTATAATTGAGGTAGTGGAGAGTGGTCACGGGTGACCGCTAGGGGACAGATCAGTTAATTTGTAAATTTTGCTCTCACTGATGTTCAGTATTTTCATAATTGAGGCAACACAATTTTGCGCACCCCATCAGGTTATAGTACTCACCAGTCCGTACTCGTCGTAGTTGGTGATGCCGATCTTGGTGCAGATGACCACCATCAGGTTGGCCACCACCTGGCTGTCATCCACCAGCAGGGTCTTCACCGTGCCTGCAAAAAATGTATGATATTTACTTAACTGTATGAATTATCAGTGTTAATAAAGTGTTATATGCTTCTGAAGTAGGTCATAAAGGGGATAAAAGACTACATGACGTCCCTGCACGTAATATTGGTAACGCATTTATAACTCCTGTAACGTTGCTATATCTAATGCCTTGTTCGCACTATGCTAGTATGTGAGTCGAGCAGCGAGTGTTTAGTACATCCCTCTCGCTTCTGCCCCAAAATCGAAGCAAGAGAGAGTTACTGAACACTCGCTGTTCAAATTTTAGCATAGTGCAAACTTGACATTACGGTGGCGTCTCTAGCTACCTCTATCGTTCGAGGTTCGAGTTTAGTGTTAAACTCGAACATAAAACAGACGCAATAAGGCTGAATTTGGAATGTATCAAATACCAAGTAAGTTCTAAAGAAAAATCAACTTAATTTAACAGCAATAAGGTTCATTTTAGATACTAACCGTCTAACATACGGACTCTCAAGTTCCTGGTCTTCTTATTATACTCCAGAAGGTCTCCATTCCTCAACATGTAGTAGTCCAGACTTCTGGAAGCTTCTAGCCATATTCCCTTCTTGTTGTCTTCTTCTGACGCTAAGAAGAGGCCGTATTCTTTTGCTGTGGGTTAAAATGTAAAAAATTTAATACATTTACAGGAACTCCTGAGCTATAAAATAGGTGCCACTTAACGACATGTTATTTTCCACCAACAATTAAGTGAGATGAAGATGTAAAGGCATTGGGTTAATGTTGGTGCTCTCTCACGCTAAGTAAATCTTAGTTAAGAGATAGTTTAGGGGTCGTTGATGAAAACGGCCATTAGCTATAGGGTATTAAATTGGTTGCTAATGGTACTGTGAAGAAAAATTGTATAGTTGCAACTATTAAGTTTTTATACTATACATATGTTTAAAAATATAGTATTATGTTTTTTTTTTTATGGAATAGGAGGCAAACGAACGGATCACTTGACGGTAAGCGATCAGCGCCGCTCAAGCACAGCCGCAACACCAGAGGAGTCACAGATGTGTTGCCCGCCTTTTGAAAAGGAATACGCCCTTTTCTTGAAGGCATGGCACGGGAAGGCATTTGTGGCATGCAATTTGTGTAATGTATTATTAAAGCCAAAAATATTTTTCTCGGTAAGTAGATAAGCTAAGTAAAATGTTATCTTTAGTAAGAATTTCTTACTATCAATGCTATTGTTACAAGATATAGAAGGACTTTGTATTTCTTAAAAATCTCTACAATACACATTGCCAACGGCTTCGCCCGCGTTCCCGAGGCTTAAAAGTAGCTGATGTGTTATTCCAGACCATAATCTACCTTTGTTCCAAATTTCATTTTGACCCCTTCAGCCGTTTTGACGTGAATGAGTAACAGACCAAAAAACATACAAACTTTTGCATTTATAAGAGACTAGCTACTTTCGCGCGGTTTCACGCCGCTCTGTTCAGCTCCTATTGGTCGTAGCGTGATGTTTTATAGCCTATAGCCATACTAAATAAATGCGCTATCCAACACAAAAAGAATTATTCAAATCAGACTGGTAGTTACGGAGATTAGCGCGTTGAAACAAACAAACAAAAAAACAAACTCTTCCGCTTTATATAATAGGAGCTGAGCAGAGCGTGTGAAACCGCGCGGAAGTAGCTAGTTTATAATATTAGTAGGCTGAACCATTGTGCTTATTATAGAAGAATACATTAAATACTCACGGTCCCCACTGCTGGCTTCGAGAATCTTCTCTCTGATGATGCGGCAGGCGTCGTACACGGTGGTGGAAGGGTCGAACTGTATGGTCTTTACCACCTTGCCACCTTCGATGGATATCTTCAGGGATAGAGCCGCCATCTTGCTTAGGGAGTGGGCTCTGGAGGAAGAAGAATTTAGGAGTTAGATTAGTTTATCTTTCGGTGACAATTCATGTAAGTAGTGTTTGTGTTTATCACTTAAAGATAGACGCGGTAAGGACTTTGTTTTTTTATTTAATCTGTAAGAATGATAAATTTTAATGAATTCAGTAATGACGGTCTTGTTTTATGCCCTTGTTTTAAAACCTGCTAAAACTGTTTGTTATCTGATTCAGGACTTCAGGAAGAACTTGTTAGGTTTTTTAGAAATAAACTCTCGTATCAATAACATGGCGTTGCAGCGTCTGATATTGTCCTTGATGTATTAGAACATGACCCCTTTACAATCGAACTAATAATATAGTTAAAACTTGCGACTATAATGAACATCTAGAGATAACGAGCCATATAACTACAGAACCCAGCTGACCTGTGTATAGTAGCAGTGTTATAAGGTCTGTCGGAGTCTGGCTGTAGGTCTAGCGAGGTGGCGCTGGGCCGGCGGCGGCGCGGACGCTCCTGGCTGAACGACCGGACCCGCGGGCGCGACTCTACTGTATTCTGCAATGGAGGACGAACGAGGTTAATCCATGAAGGATTCCTTTCTTAAAGATTGCGATAAATGTACGGCAAAACGTGTGATGATGTCATTGTATAATACATCAGTCAGTACCACCCCTCGTCTTCCCGTGAGCGTCATCAGAGCCGAGGAGCTACATGCTTACAATTTGACAACAGAGACTTCTCCTGCCTTGGTCACGCGAAAATGAATGTCAAACTCTTACTGACTAAGCCTCGGCAACCCGTTAGGTTGTCGCAGCTTCTCTCATAAGCCTGAATCTTTTAAATTACGATTTCCATCCCGTCTGCCGAGACGAGGTCCGTGATCCAGTAGTTGATTCGTGGACTTACGTGATATCACCAGTGTGATGATAATGAGAGTAAACGCAGTCACAATGTTACTTACTGTGCGTGGAGCGGTCAGCCGTCGCCAGTTGTGGTGGAGTGCGTCCTCGATGCGGTCGCGCAGGCTTCGTCACGACTCCCTCTGTGTTTGCGGTGATGGATTGTCAGTTGGTACCTGGTGACAAACAGATGATCAAGTTAGAAAATTAAAGTGCATTTATCTGGTTCCTAAAATGAGACCTATTTAAAATTATCAGTACAAAGTATAAAAATGTCGTCATCGTTGTTGTGAGCTAAGGTGTCCTAAAGACCGTCAGCATTGCCATGTCGAATGGTTAATCTTATCCTTTGCCGAAGGGTACTAAGCAGAAGTATGAAGCATGTTCTTTACAAGTTATTTTTTGCAAACAAAGCTAAAAACCAGGTTCTCAAAGTAGGGGCAATCCTAGTGTAAAGTCCAGGAAACAATATAGGTAACCGACAGTAGTTTTAAAGCAATACACATTAATTTTTATATTTGTAAAGATGTAAACTGATTTGAAATAAACGTGGTGTCGTATTGAGCGACGCCATGGTATATTTATATAGCGGACGCCATCACCTGTGCTGATATATATAGACCGCTATTTATATATTATGTTTACTCAACAAATTCGACAGAAGTCTCACTATATTTGACAAGATTGGAAATATTAAAGTATTGATTTGAGACTGTTAACTGAACGAAATGTAGCGATTAGAGAATTCAATATTAAATTAATTGACATTGACATTCGACAAATAACGTCAAAGGCTTATGTCAGGTCCACACATTGACATTTCTATAGACTACAATCGATTGCTTGACAAAATAAATCGACTATTCTAAAGCTACGTTAGGAGTTCAACTCGGTTAACGAGGTCTCGGGGTCGATTCCCGGGTCAGACAAAATATTACTGGGTTTTTTAAAGAAATCCCAGTACATATTAGCACGGTACCTATCTGGAATTATGCCCAGTATATGGCAATAGGCTCACTCCCTATTAACTCGTCGAGTACCGGTTTTGCAGACACAATTATAGAACAATAGGTTGCGGTCACCGGTGACCGCTTGGTGTTAGACAGTTTAAATGGGTCTAATAACATAAATAGTGAAAAGTGGGTGTTACATTGTACAATACAATGGCATTACGTGCCGTAATGTGCACCTCTGCCTACCCCTTCAAGGATAAAAGGCGTAACGTTATGATATATTTTAGAGGAGGTTTGGTGAAAACAGCTTAAAGACGTATATTTTCAATTCAAATAGAAACGAAATCATTCCAACCAGACTGTCACTTGTTTAATCGCCCTGTCAAAACAAATAAATAAAAAATATATCTTAAAGCATGTTTAGTGACTCGGAGTAAGTATGTATGAACAATGGGTCTACCCCCCTTCGTAAAGACAATCCAAGCGCGATGTTTGCAAGGGCGTGACACGCGTGACGTGTCATTCACGGATAATTTCACGGAATTTAGTGCTGTACGGAGTTGTGGATTTGATCTTTCGTGTGTGAACTGTAAGTTTAAGTGGATACATGTTTAGTGTCGACAAAATATTTTTTGTACGGGTTTTACCGCGGCAAACGAACAGACAGACAGACAGACGCATGGTAAGCAATCGGTGTCGCTTGTGGACACCTGGAACACCAGAGGCGTTACAAGTGCGTTACCGGCCTTTTGAGGATTGATTAATGATTTGATTAATGCTCAAACTTTCTCAGTGTGAGAAGAGGTTTTGCCCAGTAGTGGGCACTTATAGGCTGTTGATGATGATGATGTTTGAACATCGTTGTATAAAACCTCCTACTTTAAAGTCGGTTAAAAGATGATATACTTGATTGACCAGTCGACCAGTCGGCCAATAGATACCTACACTGAGCATAGCCGTATTTGGCCAGACAAGTAGACTGCGATAATGACGTAACCGCGAGATGATGCCAAACCTATGTTTACTTTGATCTTCAATTGTAAATGAAATGTTCAATATTTTCTTTCTACAAACAGATTGAAGACGGTACCAGCTTGACCAGGTACGTACTGGCAAACTTATAAACGACGAAACGAGTTTTATTGCGGTTGTCAATAGTGGACAAAGTGAATTCTGAGAAAGGTCCACTCTCGGCAGCTGTCGAATTTTGAGCGTCCAATGGCTTGACACTAGTTTATTCTCTAGACGAAGAACGAGACGTCCACGCTGACACCGTCTGGTGGGTGGAGGTGCGGTAGGTAGGCCCCAACTGTATTAAACAGACTAGTGAAAATTAGTGCTATGGACTCGAGCCTTCGTGCCCGGCCACAGCACTAAGCTGACCTCTAGCCTTTTGCACTGCCATGCACCATAATATTCTTATGTTTATTGTATACGGCTTTTCTTTCTTTCTTTAAAAGGTATAAATCGTAGAAGCTTGTGAATCCTAGGCAAAGGTTGGGGTTGAAAGCTAGTATAATAAATAATAAATAAAATAAAAATAAAAAAGCCTTTTATTTCTTACTTCAAAAATTTACAAGGTATATGCTTATTTACTAGGTATGCTAATTAACTTATGAACTTAACGTTATTAGAACTAAAAAATATAAAACAATAAACACATAATATTTCTTAACTTAATATCTTAGTAAGAACCCCTCGTTCTCGAAGGTGAAGGCCTCCTCTAGAGATTTCCAACTATCTCTGTCTTTTGCTATTTCCATCCACTGTTGACCAGCAACTTGCATTATATCGTCTGCCCAGCGAGCAGCTGGTCTCCCTCTCTTTCTATTTCCGGATGGACCGTTCCAACACGTAATGCGGTGGGTCCATCTGTTGTCTGTTAACCTGGCTATGTGACCAGCCCAACGCCATTTCAGTTTTTTGCAGTGGAACAAGGCATCAGTAACTTTTGTAATTTTTCTTATATTTTTGTGTGGCACTTTTTGGATTTTTCTAATTTTTAATAAAGTCCTTTCCATAGCTCTCTGACACGATCTAATTTTTGATTTTACGCGTTGTGTGAGTTTCCAAGTTTGGCAAGCATAGGTTAAGGATGGTAGTATACACGAGTCCATGATCTTTTGTTTAATTACAATTGGCATTTCACTTTTCATCACTTCTTTCATGCTCCAAAATTTTTTCCACGTATTCGTAACTCTTCTTTCGATTTCGTGTTCATTTCTATGTACTTTAAATGAAATTTGTTTGCCTAAATAGATATATGTGTCTACATACTCCAGTGCGTCATTTTCAAGGTATACAGGATGTTTAGTGTAGTTTGTCATAATATTTGTTTTATTGCGATTTATCCTTAGACATACCAGTCTGCTTACAGTGTCGAGGGCGCTTACCATTGACTGTATCTCAGTGGAGTTTTCAGAGAATAGAACGATGTCGTCAGCAAATCTTAAGTGACTGATGTACTTGTTGTTTATATTCAATCCGACCTTCTCCCAATTTAGCTGTCCCATTACTTGTTGTAACACTGCTATGAATAATGTAGGAGAGATTGCATCTCCCTGTCTTACTCCTCTTTTGATTGGTATAGCAGGCCCTGTTGTCTCTAGTTTAATTCTGCTGTTACAGTTTTGATACATATATCAAAACTGTAACATATCTGAAAGTACTACAACACATATGTTGTAGTACTTTCAGATATGTTGTTTCCACATTTTGCTGTTGTAGAGACTCCCATATTGAGTGATGATATAAAGTGTCGAAAGCTTTTTGATAGTCGACAAATACAAGGTAGAGCGGCCTGTGGTATTCTTGATATCTGTCTATAATCATTTCGATAGAGTGGATATGGTCTACAGTAGAGAAACCTCTTCTAAAGCCTGCCTGTTCCACTGGTTGATGTTTTTCAATTGTACTTTTAATTCTTTTTTCTAGAATTGTAGAGAATAATTTGTATATTGAGGACAACAGACTTATTGGTCTGTAATTACTAATATCATTTGGATCTCCTTTCTTGTATAGCAAAATAATGTCAGATTCCGTCCACTGTTTAGGTACATTTGCCGTTTTCAGCACCATATTAAAGAGCTGTGTTAAAGGGGTCTTTAGGTAGGGACTTCCTAGTTTCAGGGCTTCATTGGTAATCTTATCAGGTCCCGGGCTTTTATCCAACTTCAAACTAGCAATTCCATTCATTACTTCTGTTTCGTCTACATCTTGTATATTTGATTGTATTTCACTTATTATAGTTGATATTGATGGCGGCTCCTCATTTTCATAATCATATAATTCTCTATAGAAATTTGTTGCAACTTTTAGTATTTCTTTCCTCTCGTAAGTTGTTTTATTAGAAGCTTTTAGTCCCTCTATCCAGGTTTTATGTGATCTTAATTCTTTATTAGCTCTCTTTAAACTTCCGTATTGTATAATATGTTTTTCAATTGTCTTTTTACGATGTGTGTCATAATCATTTCTGATATATTTGCTTATAAGTTTGTAGAGGGCTTTAAGCTCATTTTTCATAGTTCGTGTCTTCGGTTTAGTATTTTGGAGGTATTGTCGCCGTAACATTAAGAGTCTAGTGCGAGCTGATATAATAGAGTCTGTATCCTTGTGTTTAGATACTTCTTGAGCTGTTTTGAGGCTAATGTTAATTGCGGCAGCAATTTTGCTGTATAATTCTTGTACTGTATAACTATGTTGTTTGTTAGCTAGCTCTGCCAAATTGTCATAAAGCGAGTCTTTATATGATTGTACTTGCTGTTCATTTTTCAAAGTATTTTTTACATTACCTCCATACGATTTTCTGTTCTTCCTTTTAGACTGCAGTGTGAATGTAGCTCTAACCAATCTATGGTCACTAGGATATTTAATATTAATCACCTGTATATCTTGAGCATATTTTTCGAGATTAGTTAGTATGTAGTCGATTTCGTTCTTTACCTTGCCGTTCGGTGATCTCCAAGTCCATCTTCTATTATTTTTCTTTTTAAAAAAGGTGTTTAAAATTGCCAATTTATTTTCACATGCAAATTGTATGAGTTTTTCTCCTCTTCTATTTCTATGGCCATAGCCATAGCTTTTCGTGATTAAGTTTTCCGCCTGTTTTGGCTGGCCAATTTTTGCGTTGAAGTCGCCCATAACTATTAAATGTTTTCCACTTGTTTTTAGTGCTTTGTTTACGTTTTTATAAAATAGCTCGACCTCTTTTTCTTTAGCTGATTCTGTTGGAGCATAACATTGTATTATGCTTATAACTGTATTGTCGACATTTATCTGAAGTAGAGCGACTCGTTCTGAAATTCCTTTGAAATATATAATGTTCGCCTTGTGACGTTTATGCACAAGAAACCCCACACCATACAAGCCTGGTGTTTGCCCTATGTAGTATAGAATGAAGTCTTCGTATTCTTCTATAGAGTTACCCAAGCGTCTGATTTCGGCGAGCCCGATGACATCATATTTTATATTTTTCAGGGCTTCGCCGAACTCCAGAAGACGAGAATAAGATGATAGCGTTTTAAAAGCGAAAGCTAGTATACTATACTCTAAATTGGCCATGCCCATGGTACTGTCACATACATTAACTGCGTATGACAATTCATTACTGGACTATGGCCTTGCGTTACATTTTTTAACTTTACAGGTCACTTACTCATCACATAAAACAGTTCGTCATAATGTCCATGATTTTGGTTGTTTTTAGAATTATCAAAGAGCATTGCTGCCTGATGTCTGTTAAATCTGTAGTTCCTTAGTCAGTTTATACAACATCCTGTTTCTATACGCATGAAGCACTTCGCATCAAGCTTCCTTGTGCGTACTGCTAAGTAGTAGAATTCTTTGCCATAGCCTGTCTTTCTTGAAGGGTGCCTTCAAGGCCCGAGTGAAAAGGTTGCTTATAGGAGGATGTGCTCCATCGTAGACCGCAATATCGTTTACCACCAGGAGAGATAGTGGTCAAATATCGTAATAAAATAATAAAATTCGTGGCTTACTGAAACCTTTTGCTCAAGTAGACCTTCTGAATCGTCTACAATATGAAACCGTGTGTCATACGTCAGTCCTTACTACCCATAAACACGGATTTCGTAACAGTCTCACTCACGCTGTCGAACTATAAATGTAGCCAAAAGATTATGCCGCTTGTCAGTTTGGTTTGCTTTAGGGAAGTATTGTGACAACAGTTTTGTGTTGTTTTATTAATATTATTTATTTATGTACACACATACAACATAAAGGATAACACATATATAAAATTAAAGTACAAAGGTATCACATATTCCTATTGGAATTTCTTCCCGTGTGTCACGGTTTTAGAGGTTTATTCACAGAATGGTTGTAATATAGTAGTCGTAGGATGAGTAGAGTGTCTCTTTTTACTAAGTAAATGTGTTATCAATAAGAAAGCAAAATTAATGTGTTTTGATTTCAATATTTTTATGTCTAAAATGCAGAACCGATTTCAAAGAATTTTGTTTCAAAGATGAACGGAATCCTACCCAAAGTTATCGATTAAAAGTTTTGAGAATTGTAAGACATTTGATGATTTTAGGGCCTCGGTGTAGCTTGAAATTAATCGAGCAATATCGTTGAATAGTAACGTGAACAATTTAATAGTGTACATTTGCAAGATCAATAACTCTATAGTCTACATAACAAAAAGGTATACCAAAGTTGATACCAACATTTTAACCAATACCAATTTAGAACCATCCATTTTCTATACTTATTCTGACTTAAACAAACAATCTAAAAATATATAGTTTCCTAAAGATACGCATGGTATGTTAGTTAAGGAAGTTAATTCGACATTTTGTTTTAATAGTTATGATTTCTTGAATAAGCTTTGAGCTAAGAATAGAGATATGAATGAGAGCGACAAAGTAAATGGTGCGTTGGATGATTATTAAGATAATTATGTTTGTAATCTATTAACATTATAGGACAGATATTGTGGTGATGGGACTTCTAACCTTTGAAGATTTTTGGGGTTAATACAACCCCACACGTGGACGTGGAGTTGTTTTCTATTCTCACATTAAACATCTATAAGTTTCCGATGTTGTTCCGAGCCCGAGTGTGTTGTACAGTAAGTGATAACATCACACCTTTTTATCCCTGAAGGTATAGGCAGAGGTGCACAACTGCACATTACGGCAATTAATGGCAGTGTACAATGTAACACTCACTTTTCACTATTTATATTATGAGTCCCGTGTAATAGGGGGTGAGCCTACTGTCATATACCGGGCACAATTCCAGGCTCGGTGGTACAAGTGTCATTTTTTTAAAAACCCAGTAATTAGTTGCCCGACCTGGTAATCGAAGACCCCTTGCCCGGCAGCCGCACATGTGACCACTCGGACAATGAGGCAGTCAATTTATACTTAACCAGTAAATAGCTTAGCTCTTTACTATTACATGGGAATCATAACATAAATAGTGTAAAGTGGGTGTTACATTGTACAGTGGTATAATGTGCACCTCTGCATACTCCTTCGGGGATAAAAGGCGTGTTGTTATGTTACAAATTCCTATGGAGAACTTGGAGCACGTTTTTAAAGTAACCAACCAATATTTATGAGTTCATCTATTTTTATACTCAAATGTATCGGTTGGTTATGTATGCGGACGTTGATAAAAAACTAGTAGACACAGCTGATGGTGTTTGGGCAGATAACTATGGGGATTAGATAGTTCGGAGTCTACTTCCTATCAAGATAGTTTGTGGGTGAATATTATTAGATATATCTTAGTAATATTATGAATGCGAATGTTTGTGTGTCTGTGTGCATGTCTGTACGTTTGTTACTCAATTAAATCAAAACGGCTGATGGAATTGAGTTAAAATTTGGAACAAAGGTAGATTATGGTCTGGAATAACACATAGGCTATTTTTTACCCACGGGAAGACGGGCAAAGCCGCGGGGCAAAAGCTACTATTATAGATGTATATTATTATGTGTTTGTAATGAGACCGTTGTTAAAGGAAGTTAAAGGAAGAACAATAATCTATTTTATTTTTCATAAAAAAGATATAGATAAAGGACTGAATTGAAGTCCCGTTTAATTAAGTCTTCATTTGTTTTTTTAAACTTGCTAATTAATTCTAAGGCCTTACTAGACAAGTGGGGCTTTACATCAGCTTTGACATTATCATATGTCAATCCTATATATACATTGCGTTTCAATTCCCTGTTATAACCGACTTCAAAAAAGAAAGAGGTTCTCGATTCGGCATAATCTTTTTTAATTAAAACCAATTAGGCAAACACGCGTCCTTAATTCCATACTTATAACGGGACAATGAATTCCCCACAGCGTCCAAACGAGCAATAACTAAGTACAAATTCAATTATGAAAACGGGTCATAAACTTTGAAACGACGTATTAATGACGAATACGTGTCGAAAACGAACCAAACCACCAATAAACTTAACACCCATAAGTGCTAACAGTTGGATTAATATCAAGAAACACAGATGCGGATTCAACCTAGAGAGCGCCCTACGCAGTACCGTCTTTACCATAAATCGTGCCCAAGGCTCCTCAGGGGGCCCCGAAGTAAGGACAATTTCTACGACACTACGGACGAACACACCCGCTACATTTTGCTCGAAAACCGGCTACCCTGCAACGTGTAGCGAGTTCGAAAACTGCAGAAAGCAAATCTTTGTGTGGTTCACAAATTGTGTGTGTATGTGAACTTGTAGGTTTGTAAAAGCACCCACGATACAGGAGAAAATCCTAGTGTGCTGCAACATTCAGAAAAATTAAACATAACACAAGGGCCTCGAATTATTGTCTGCCTAAGAGCCCCAGCGTAGTCTTAAACGGCCCTGGCCCTAAGCAAGCACCTGATGGGCGCCCGTAATATATTTTGGCGCCGCCACTGGGCAGTTGGATACGCGGCTCTCAGCGCCCTTCTTTAAACCTGGCGCCCGGCGCTTGCCTAGTTTGCCACAGGGATAATACGGCTCTGCATAGACATATACCAAACAATACCCTTCACCGAAACTGCACTTATATCAACTTCAAAGGAAAATCCACTTTATGGCTCTATGATAGGGGTGGTTGTAGTCGAAAATATTAACAAATTCGCATAGACTCATTAAAAAGGCCTATAGTCGTAACGGGCGGGTTATTGCATAGAGTTTTGCATAAAAAGGCCCCCAACACGCCGGCATGTCGGAATTTTAATAGTTCCTATATAAGTTCGTCTGTGGATCATTTTATTGTTTTATGAGGGATGCAGAAATGTGATGGGATTCATGTAGTGACGTCATTGTACTCAGTTATATTTTAAATTGAATTTTATTACATGTAATAAGTTTTAGGTTCTGCTAACGACTTCGCCCACGTTCCTGTGGGATGAAGTATGAGTTATTCAAGACCATAGTCTGTTGCGAATTTCATCTTGATCCGTTCAGCCATTTTGACTTGATTGAGTAACAAATATACACACAAGCTTTCGCATTTATAATATTAGTTAGATGAAAATGACCCGTAAATAGGGTATTTATAGAACACTAATTCTGTCTCCTATTTTACTAAAAAGGAGCGAACCACTGCTACAAAATCTTAATAAAATTTATTTATAAACTCAGACATAATTGACCTTAGCAAAACCTGCATATAAGACTCTTTAGTGACGAAATCGGACATTGGAGGCCTCGAGGTATTCGCCTCAGATGCAATCAGCAAGGATCATCTGAGCTTACAAAACAATCATTAATTTCATAATTATCAAGTAACTTTGTACGATTTAAGATTAAAATTATTAAATAATCCTAATTTTACTGGATTAGATAATCAATTAAAGATAGTACTGTAATGTAATAGTTAATCGGGAATGGACAATGTGGATTGTGGACACTGACCAGAATCGGGAACGTTTGCTAATCTAATTACATATCTGGGTAATTGATGAATGCCAGACGTGAGCAGAAATACTGCTCTCTGTACAAAGGGTAAGACTTATTGTAATTTAATAGACAAATGTACAGGAGTATTGGTGGAACAGGGATTGTATTTTGTTTGAAATGATATCCATTAAAATTCTTGTCGTTTTAAAATTGCTATTTATGATAATCTACACATAACATAACGCCTTTTTATCCAAGAAGGGGTAGGCAGAGGTGCATATTACGGCATTTAATGCCACTGTACAATGTAACATCCACTTTTCACTATTTATATTACGAGCCCCATGTAATAGGGGGTGAGCCTATTGCAATACACCGGGCACATTTCCAGACTCCGTGCTACTACTGAGATTTTTAAAAAGCCCAGTAATACTTTCCCCAACTCGGGAATCGAACCCGAGACCCCTTGCCCGGCAGTCGCACTTGCGACCACTCGGTCAAAGAGGCAGTCAGCGGCAGAGTCAGTCAGTCAGCAATGATAATCTACAAAGCTCAAAATGATAACGATTGTATTGTCGACAGTAAGGAAGGTATTTATAAATACAATTAATAGATAAACAAAGTACTGCATCTTAAACGCATTAACCTCTTATCTGCGACACAATAGAAAACATATTGTGTCTCGCGTATATCTACGCT